GTGTGTGTATTGAAATAGGCTGACAGGGTGACCTCCAAAGAAACAGAAGAAACCCTGGAAGAGGAAACATCCACGAATTTGGGGGGTCTCAGTTTTCCTCCCAGACTCCCAAGAGAGACCCATATCAGGAGTCTTGACAACTCGAGGTCTTACATCTTTGGTCGTTGACATCTTGATATGCCTCGACTCATGTACTTCGATCTATAGGGCGTAACATGTGATGCAGAAGCAGATGCGCATGTTGAGACGCAGAGGTGAACATGCAGCTCGAAACTAGCGGTGAATGTTCCTTCCTTCACGTTCATGTCTTGGACCACCAAGCCCAGTTTCTGGATTCATTCATGTTACATTAGTTGGTCAGTCAGAACGTAAGCCCGACAACGTTAGTACACTCCGACGAAAACATCACATGGAAGTGGAGTGAAAACTCCCTGTTCGTTCCAGGATAGGTCGTCTTCCGGTTCTCGGGGACCATGCCATCCACGGTCACCATGGAACGTGAGTCAGAGTGTACCCGCGTTGGTTGCTTTGGTTGTTTTGTGTGTCACATCGGCTCGGCTTCACCGGGCCACGTACGCTTGAAAACAAGCGTTTCGGGTCGGATCGCGAAAAACACCCGGTGGGTGGAGGGGATCATTCCCCAGCATGGCCCAGACATGTTGAAGGGAGATGACGCACTACTATGTTTGAGTGTGTAGGATTGGGCATTTGACCTCTTCATCAAGGTCCTCGGGCGCTTACTTTGGCCATCCTGCATGACATCGCTATGACATTCTCATATGGTTCGGATGGACCTGCGGCATGAGTAAGGTGATTCCCGCCACTTGACTCTGCAGGCTTCCATTGGGCATAGAATTGGATGATCCTAGTGGTGATGCGTTGGAACCCAGTCCACATCCGCATGTCCATCCACCAGTCGAACCGCCCGAATGTTCACGCTGTGGAACCCAGTGGCAGGAGCCTCGAGAGGAGGATCCGATCAAGGACCGGGATCCCTGATGAGGGTGTCCTTTTCTCCCATTGACCAGGTGTAGAATTCATTTGTTCAGGTTTTTAGGTGAAGATGTCACATCGAAGAATCCGCCGTTCACTCGGATCCAAAATGGCTGAACTGGTTCGACGAGATATCCATGGATACGGTATCCATGTTTGAGCTTGAAAAGGGAAAGACTCTCTTCAGCTCAGTGGGTGGTTAGGGACAAGATGGGATAAGCATGGCTAAGCTGTCAGCTCGGGGAGTGCAATTTGTCGGAGTGCTGAATCTGGTGGACGAATCCAGTGGACGAACCTACAGATGGTCTGGTCTTGATTCGTGTCCCTGAGTCCGTCTGGCATGTCATTGCTTTATTTCCACAGCACCACAGCCATGTGCTGCGCACTGCGCCGGACGAAGAAAAAATGGTGAACAAAGTACTCTCAAAGGTTAGGAGGGTGAACATCGTCCGTAATACAGGCAAATGACAAAGTACGACAAAGTCCTACCCAAGACCCATGGGGGACTCAGAAAGTCCTACTTCTCATGGCAGTGTTGTTTCCCTGTACCTTCGTGTAGTTGTTGGACTCAGTGTAGCCATCGCGGAACATCCGTCGCTACGACCCCCAGTGACTGAGTGTGTGGGTGCTTCGGGTCCCTTTTTTGTGGCAACGTCGATCGGAATCGGCAGCGTCTCGTCGCTTCGAGTCCCTTCTTTTTCGGAGATCCTGTCGCGGCCAAAAAGGACTTGGACGAGGGCGACCTGTCCAAGGTGGGCGATTAGGACAAGCTCGGTGGACCTGAACTGATCTGGAGTTTTGGGTTGGACTCCCAACCACCCAAGAAAGAATCTGCCTTTGGGAATCGATGGCTTGTGTAGCTTGCATTGCCTTCCGAAGGTGGAGGCCCATAATGCCATAAAGCATCCTAAAGAACCACGGTAACACCCAAGTAACAACGATGAACTAGCTCAACCCGAACCCGTGAGCAACCCGAACCCGTTCGGCTGCTGAAACCCGCCGCCGTTCCCGGACAGTCTAGACCGGACCATGTTCGGACCTTGGACCCCGAAGTCTGGGTCGGGTATCAGATCCACCGAAGAGCCCTCGAGGGCCTGAACTCATGTCTTATAGTAATCTATATATGTATCTTATAGTGATAGTTACAAATCTTATATATTATGTTATCTTATGTCCAAGAATCCATAGAACAAATCCGATGAATATCGATGAATTTGTCCAGCTGGAATTCGGGACCAATTCTCTAGAGTGTTCTTTTTTTTTCCAAGGCAAGAAATTGATGCACATTCCGCAAGAGTGTTTCTCAAAAAATGATAGGATCTTCGGATTTCCTATGATGTCCTTCCCCCAACTAACCACACACAAGGCCTGGTGCTTGTTAATTCTTAGGGACGAGAAGGAGCACTTTTTCGGGTGCTATGCAGGGGCTCAGGCTTTTTTCTGCGAACCATATTGCACTTCTGGTCAGGAGTTTGACTGAGAAAAAACCGTCGTCCTCCAAAAGACCTCAGGAGCATCTTGACCAATGCCACAAAGTGATACCAGTTGATCCCCAAGTTGATAGAAACAGTTTTCCATGGAGTGTTCAGGGTGTGAAAATGTGTGACACATCTCTATTTTTTTGTGGGGGCCACTCGGAAGGTGCTTGTGGCTTCGTTGTCACTCGGAACTCCAGGTCGAAGAGCAGCTGAGGATCCTGAACTCGGCTGGAAACCTCAACCAGGACCTGGTCAGCTGACTGAGAGTCGGGTGACCTCGGCGTTCTGTGCCTTCTCCGGAGCGCCAAAGCGGACGACTGGCCTATCTTGCCTCTCTCCCGGTCTGAAAGAGGCAAGCCAAACAGCAGAGTGATCTCTTTGGAATTCTAAACGGTCGTAAATACCAGCACCATCCTGTCTGGGTGTGTTTGGAGATACCGTTCGGTAGTGCAGTCCAGGAGACCCAGACAGGATGGTCCTGGCATATGATATATGGTAATATACCATGTAAATCCAATGTTATGGGAGATCGTGACAGCGTCTCGGGACCCCGCGCGCCATGATCGTATTGATTCGTATTGGTTTTACCAGCCCTTTAGCTGGTTGGGCCGCATGCTCCCATGCTCCTCCAGACACAGCACCTTCTATAGTGATCCCCTTAAATATCCTTAAATAGATAGAAACGGTTTCCAACACATTTTTAGTGGGGATCTACAGTACTTTTCTATCTATTTGGGGGTCTATATACGCTACTGCCCAGCTATAAGGTGCTCAGCAATGCTTGACCCCACAAAAAGCCCTGCTTGCCGCTAGCCGCTAGCCCATCAAATGAGACGATTCTCAGAAGGAGACAAATGAGGTCATCTTTCAAGACGAGCTATGGCGAGCTGCTTTCCATATATCAATTGTTTTTGAATTCCCTGGATCATCCGCCAGGGTCAACCACCCAGTTACCAATTCGAGAAAGAACTGGAAGGGTATTTCATGGATTAAACAGATGTTAACATTCTGGTGTTTGTTCTGCCAACCAAAGAGACTCACGAGGTTGAACATCTTGGTGCCGACTCCCAGTACGCTCCCATTTCCAAGCATTTGGACTTCTTGGTTGGAAGACGACCCTTCCCTCACTTCGGCGGCACACGACGGTGCGGCATCTTCTTGCTCAAAGGAGTTGGACGCGGATCAGCTTCTTGAGCCACTCTTGAACTTGGGCGTGGACCAGGCGTGGTGCTTTTTCTTCACCGCAGGGCCCCAGGAGGCTAATGGGCCATGAGCGAATTTGGAGGTCTGGATCTTCTGAAAATCAGTGGCACATGTCTCTATCCCAGAGGATAGGCTCAATGAATGGAATCCTTTTGCCTTAAGTTGATAGTAGGCAAACCTGGTTGGTCGGTAGCCTGGTCACCGCTTTGCTAGGCTCGAAGATATTCCATGGCTTAAATGAGAGTTCGAGAAATCAATACTGTAATGGCCATCTAGACGTTCATGGCTTACATGGGTTTTCAGCCATCTAATATGGCATAATATGGCCAGATTGAATTCACTGTAGATTCGCAGCTGTGAATTCGTCTCGATCAATTCCCGAAAGCTTGTTGAAAGATGTTGAAAGGATGAACATGGAAAGACATCGATTCAAACCAACGCGCAATTGGTTGCGCAACCACACTCTGTCATGCACAACCAGATCGTGACTCCTCAGACCCTGGCGACGATTTCTTCTCGAAAGGCACTTGAGATCCTCTCCCACGTGGAAGAGAAAGCTGGAGAGGTTGGGGACAACTCGCTTAAGGACACCGGACCAAACAGAAACATGGCTTTGCGATGTGTTGCGTCACGATGTTTTGGGTCAGGGTCATTTTGAAGAATATGAGTTACGTCGGCCCAAAGAGTTCCGCCCTGCGTCCAGATGCTGCATGCTGATATATGTGTACAAGGCAAAAAAAAACTATGAAGAACTCTACATCTTGGACCAGTGAACCAAAATGATCCAAAATGGAAGAGACTATAGTAGGACCATCCTGGACATAAAAGGTTTTGTTTTATGCCAATGCCCCGGTCCAGGGCTGGCGGGTTAGTATAGTACGATATAATATAATACAATATAGTCTTAAAATATTCTTAGCCTTCAATGCAGAAGTTTAACTTCGACGTGGATGTGGATAAGGTAGATGATTTACCAGGTGAAACATCGACGTCACTTTATGTTTTACTTCGGCCCAGCCCATGTGGCTCAAGCCTATGTTACATTATATAGCCCTTTGCATGGCCCTAAGGGGTCGCCCTACCGAGCCAAGGACGACTTGGTGTTTGCAGACGACCTCGTCCGCGCTGCCGTTTCCGGCTCAAAGTCTCCCCTGTCCAGCCGGGTCCGGACAAACGGACGCGAGGAGTGGGTGGGTGAGAGGCAAGGAGTGGGGCTTCGGAAATGCGTACCTTTGGGTATTTGCGGATATTGATGTCTATCTATATTTGTATAATCTTCTGGTATTCTAGGGGTAAGGTAAGTAAATATGATTCATGTACTTACAACCCTTCCTTCAGAACTTGGGCTTTTCATTTAGTCCACCGTCCCAGCGACCAAAGGTCGAAGCGTGCCCGAGGGCTTGGGGTCCAAGCTTTGTCCAGTCCGGGACGCCCATGGCGTCGGACGATGAGGGGCACACCAACGGCGCCCCAGCTCCGTCGGACCTGTCGGAGATCTTGGAATTCAGCGTGAACACGGAATCATCAGGCAGGACCAGACTGGGGAAACCGGACCTGGGGAATCTGGCTGAACTGAGCTTTCTACTTGAGGCCTGAAGAGATTCAATAGAAGGCGGTGCTACGTACAACAATGTTTTTGCCAGCACATGTTAAAGAGTGTGACCTGAAGTGAAAGATAGTGAGGCATGCGCTTTTCCAGAGTTCGGCGATTCGGCGATCATCTTTGCAGAGCAGTCTTAGTCTATCCGGGATGTTTTTCAGAACTGTTGTATCATAAAGCTGGTTAAAATGTAGAGTTCCAGGACCTTCCAACAGGTCACCACCGACTTTGAAGTCGACAAAAGCCTCCAGACTCCGGAGACCGGGCCCTCGGTGCGTCGACTGGTGACCAGGTGACATCGATCCAACGGAGCCACGAGAGCGCCCGACCACTGAAGGCTCGGTGGTTGGAACGACGTCGGGGCCGTTGGAAACACCGAGCTCGGTGGTTTGGAGGCACCACGTGGTATCTTAGAGGCCGTCCAAAGGCAAAAACCAAAAGGCAACCAAACCAAAGCTCTGAAGGCAACTAAAGGTGACACCAAGTTTGGTAGAGCATCCCAAGCCCCCCAAAAAAAGAATCGCCATCGAAGCCACCCAAGTGGTTGTGCTTCTGTGGTGTTTTCCCGGTGCCCGTGGTGTGCCCACCTTTTCGAGCGGAAAAGAGCGTGAAAGTCGCCAAGAGCACAACAGATCAGTGGTTGCAGAAGAGCATCAAACAGCTGTTAAACACATACAAGATCTTACAAGACTCAGCTCAGGGAACGCTCTGTTCAGACAACTCGCTTGGACATCATGCCTTTGGTCATTTGTGTTGTGTTCCTAATTACAAACACCCAGACCGGACGGGGGAAGCACGTGCCGCTCTTCAGGGACCAGGGGATGCAATTGGTTTTTCCATGTTTTTCCACATGCATTGGTTTTGTCCTCGTTTCAGTGTGGACTGGTGTTGGACCAGTGCGCCCGTTTCCGTGCACGAATTCTCCAGGATTGGTCGACTTCATGTCCAGGACCGAAAAAATATCTTTCTTCGTTGGTTGGTGCGGGCGTGGGCGTTGGTCAACACCTGTTTTTTCGTGTATCCAAGTTATCCAAGGGATGAAACGTGTGAGTTTTACCAAGTTCTCTCCAGAGGCTGAGTTTGACAAATTTCTCCAGATCGAGGCTGAGTTTTCCAAAGTTTACATCGACTTGGACCGGTGACAAAGCCCTGGAACCAGTGGTTTTCGACCCAGGAATTGACCCGGACCGACCAACTTCGGTTTCTCTTCAGACACCGGTGACTGACCGGCGCCGGCTCGGCGCCGGAACCCGGAGAGTCCAGATCCACCCAAATGTTATTCCAGATGGTGCTTGGGAGTCTGTCAGAACAAAGGAACTCATAAATTCACTGTTGTAGTTAATTAATATAGTAGCTACCATGTAATTACAGTATCATGAAGTACAGTGAGTATATTGAAATGCACTCGATTTGATTCTCAGGAATACGACCATCTTTCGTATCTCGCTTTTCGTGCTTTTTCTCTGACTCTGCCGCATGACTCTCATCCCAGACTGCTCCGATCCCAGACTCAAGACCCGCGATCGCCGGTGAGGATCGAGGTGTCCTGCCCCAGTGTGGTGCGAGCAGTGCCATGTCATGAAGCCCTGTCGTGGCCTCCCGGCAACGTCGCGACGTCGCGGAACAGGTATTTGTTCAATTTGAAAGAAAGATCGGTGGTATGAAGATATCATAAACTTATACTCTTGATCATAGAATCATAGAATTCGAATAACAACATGTCCAGAAACCTATATATAGAGATGTTTTTGTTGGAAAACTATTTGACAAGCAGTTGCTTGTTTGATCTTTTTGCTGGTCCTGCAGATCCAAGGTTAGGGTATGCTTTGCGCGCCAGCCACGCCGACCCATATCTGCAGCCTGGACTTGGTTCCGGGGCGGGTAGCCTGGAGGTGTCCCTTTCTAGATGGTTTTAACATCACCCAGAAAGATTGTTCTCAGGGTTAAATGTTCAATCTCAACAGGAGTACAGTTTGATGGACAGTTCTAGCATGTTCCAGCTGTTTTGCGGGGTGGTGGTGTTCATACTTCACCGTCCCCTTCCCCGTACCAGAATGTTCATCGTCTTTTTCACTTTCTGCAGACACCCGGCTTCCATGCAAACTTAGGCATCTCAAAAGCAGGCAAGTGGAGGAGATCCAAGAGTTTTGGTCACACTCCTGGCACTCATTTGCATGGAAGAAGATTTTGTGCCTCCTTTGGCTCAAGAATGGCAAGGCCGATCCAGCGAGTCGGGGCCCGCGGTGTGCGGGGGTCGTTTCTTTCCGGAGAGTTCGGCGGGCGAGTTCGGCCGGTCCAAGGGTGGATCAGTTCAGAGACATGTTTCAAGACACCTACCACGGACACCGTTTTGAGCTGAGACGTACGAATATATTGTCCAGTCATAGAGACGTCATACCGCGAAAGATGGTCGGAATGTCCAGATTCCAAATACCTCCATGGTGAACTCAGCTTGATTACCTAATGCAGGGTTAGATTCGAACCCGTTTTCCCACTGCCCGGTCAGGCGGCGAGCATTATGAGTGCAATCGCTGCAACCACTGGGATGGTGTTATCCTACTTGGATGTCCTTCCAGTCCTGGTCCTTGCACAAGGACCAATGCCAGTCTGCCTGCAGCTTGGCTTAAGATGTTTTTAATTGCCTTTAGATCATTCTAGGCAAGTGACAGTCGGGCAGGTAGTCCAAGAGACCTAAATGGACCTAATCACACCCTTGAGTACACCCTATTTCACACAAAGAAGGCAAGACTTTTGTCAACCACAGAAAGGGCTGATTTTCGATCAATAACTCAGTGAGGCATTTGCTTATTGTTTCTTCTTTACTTTGGAGGATCACGCTTTTTTGTGTGTGACAAAGCTAAAGACTACTTTGCGTCTTGAATGCATGCGGAGGTGTGTTCACCATTCACTCATATTCACTCCACGAACCCACACTGAAAGCTATAAGCTTTCCGCTTTTCGTTCGAAAAGCACACAAAAGCACGAGCCTTTTCCAGGTGGAGCCAAATCATTGGACTCATCGTATTCTTCGCCACTGTTTTCCTTTGGCGCCGTAAAGAAGAGATCTTCCTGGATTGTTGCTGCGGCTCGATCTGCGAGTTCCGCGACTTGCGTTCCGCAGAGGGTTGCGACTTGCGTCCCGAGCCGTGGTGCTGGTGCCATCGGAGCAAACGTGTATGCTCGTGGCATACAAGAGGATCTGAGGATTGTTAAAATATGTTTTAACAAACCAGTATCTGGGGACTAGATAACTAGAGTACTATAACTAGTATCCATTGAGAGAATAGCTAACTATACCATTTGGGGGGGGACTATGTAGATTCAGTTAACTTCTACAGTCCCCTTCCTTCGGCCTCAGCAGCGCCTCTTTCCCCGGTCAGTGGGATAGACCGGGGATGTCCCATAACCAAAACCAATACTTCATGGTATACTTCATGGGTTGAGGAAGGAGGTTCATGGTACCAAATACAAATACTTTATGGATGTCCCATGATACTTCGGTCATGATCCGGTGATCCACATCTTCCACGGCTGGGCCAGGCGTTCATTTGCTAGACAGACGACGAGACCCGCCACACCAGCTACACCGGTGCCCCCTCATTCCTACAATTACAATATTCTTTGGTTTTCTCTGCTCAAGAGGCGGTGTTAATTGAATGGTCTCTTCGAACAATCATTGAGATGGGTCGTTTGGTTGCCATTCGCGTTCGCACGCGGATGCGCATTCGCCTCGCAAGCACAACCACAACTGGCACAACATTCCCCGGAAGAGAATCGATGAGAATCGTTGAGATCTTCGCTTTGTTTCGGGACTCCTCCTCAGAATGCGCGCAAAAAACCGCACAACCACGGGACGCGGACCACACTGAGGCATTGATTCGACCAACGGAGACATGAAGGTCCAGGCGATCCGCAGCATCGGCGGGATCTTGAAGAGGTCGGGTGCCTGACGAACAGGTCGCGGCCCGGCGAAACTGTGCGATTCCAAGGGGAGGTTCCACATGGTTCCTACTTAGTCATAGCTTCTCTATGCTTCTCTCCTTACTCAACAAGGTCTCGTTGTATAACTGTATAACCTATTCATACCTATTCAATCTATTCAGAAAGTATTATGAACCAAAAACTACTGTTCGCTTAATAAACAAAGCCACGCAAAACATCTCCGTGTCGACGCAAAACTCCTTGGAGGTCTCAGCGTTTGCTGTTGCTGTGGGATCCGACCTATGTGGAACGGCCGCTTCGTCGGGCTGAGCCGGCAATGGCCGCGTCGTTGGTGAATGTGGTGTTTGTCCAGTGCCGGCGTCCAGTTCCCTCCAGGCTTTTGAGGTGTTCTCCCGGGTGAAACGAAGGATTGAAAGGGGTGCGCCAGATGGCCTTGGGATAGATTGGCTTAGAAGATCAGTTGGAGAGGCTGACAGGTAGAATACCCTGGTTTCTCAAGGCACGAGTCGAAGCGGTGTGAGGGCGAAACCAGCTCAAAAAACTGACCAAGCAGATTTGCTAATAATCCAGACCTGTCCTTTGGCGCCTTTGGTCTGGATATTGAGCACATGTGTGTTGTCGCGACGACGCCCACCGGGTCTGAGTCAGAGAGGATCATACGACCTGCTGAAGAGTGGACAACCCTACACCATCCTTGACCGCTTATAGGCTCATAGGATCTTCAAGGTCTCTATCTTAAAGGTCTCTATTGCACACCCTAGACATCAAGTGCGGACAGTCCGCTAGGTATATACTTCGTTGGGGTCTCCCCGTCATGTTGTTGTTTCTCCCAAACTTCCATTCCACACCCGAAAGTCCAGACGCTTAATTGGCCTCTGAAGACAGAGTCGAGGACGGACTCCATCGACCATCCGTCATCCTCATCGATTGCAGGTTTTGGTGCATCTTCGAGGTGGCCGCCTTTGTGAAGAGTCACCAGGGCGACCGGTCGCCCCACCCATCCGCAGCCGTGTTTGACTCAGTCTTGGTGCGGCCCATGTTGCTGGGACCCTTCATGCTGGCCTTCATGGGTAGCGCCCGGGCTGGCGGAAAGCGATGGAGAGAACATGAGAGTAGCATGATTGAGGCGTTCTTCAATGTTCTTCAGGCTGATCAGAAAATGATGCCCACACAGTCGAGGCACCTCTTCAACAGGCAGCACGTATGCAAACAACAGAAGAAAGCCCATACATATGACACAGTTGTTCCATTTGGGGAGTTCACCTATTCATGATGAATGGGTGCTAAATTGATTGGCCAAATCAAGATGGTTTGGATTTTGCAATCCTGGTTTTATGGTAGCCATTTATAGATCTGGACCTGGACCTTCACTTGTGAAGTGGTGAACTGCTGAAAATGTACCTTTGACAAGGTTCCTGGTGTGTTTATTGGTCTAGTTGTGCTCCTATTGAACAAACCCCCAAAGCTTGCTAAGCTTGCACATGATACTCAACATAAAGGGGCAGCCCTAATCATTTCTGACCTAGTTGGTTTCATTCAGTGCCTGACTGCTGATGTCATTTCCATTCCGAAGAAGACCATATATACCACGACAAATCAAACACCAAACGTGCTAGCTCTCTCAGGAGGCCTCAAGGTATCCTGATTATTTTACTCTCCCATTTCCTGTCTACGATGTTTTCTCTTTCCACCACAATTGATTGTTCGTGGATGGCAACGGACAGCGGCCCAAATACTGCAGAGAAATCTACGTTTCACCCCGTGAAAGGTGTTGCTTGGGGAGGCTGACCTTGCCGCTTTTTGATTTTGATTGACTAGCCTCTGTTGTCGTTGCTACTACTGGTATTGCATCTATTGCCGAAAAAAAACGGTTCCATGTGTCTAGTGCGGGGTACCTCCAAGGAAGCCTCCTAACCTTTCCTAACCAACGCATCTCCGTCACTTGCGGGTTCCTCCAATGAACCAACAACAAAAGCCAAATGCCGGCACTAGCGGGGACAGCAGTCCAAGTAGGAAACTCAAAAGGAAGACCAGGGGCTTGGGCAACCATTTCCACCACAGCAGTGCAGGTTGCCCCACCAAGAAGAGATGCAGATTACTGCACATGGCTAAAAGAACTATGTACATATATATGTATATAAACAAGAATAACCATATATTCATATTACATATATAATTACATATATGCTTCTAGAATACAGCTGACCCAGCCTTCAGCCATCTCGATGCGACCACTGCCGCACGCGGATGCCTGTTTGTCCTGGCTTGTTTCCCCCCTCTCAGGCTTGATCCAGATGTTTTTGAAGCAAGATCTCTTTCTGATCCCCGCACTTTCAGAAGGCAAAGTGGACTTGACATGTAAATAAAAACAAGTTCAACTTCGGGCTTGGAGTGCCCCCCAAATGTCAACAATCAGGTTGAGATTGCTTCTTGGATGGGAGGATCAAAGAGTCACACCCACAAGACAATCATTTGTTCCAGGAGTGCTGCCCTTCATTCGAAGCCCACTGTTTCAAACGGCATGTTTTGGGCTCCATGTGGAACTGCGCATGAGGCACCGCCGTTTTGCTGTTCTTGGTCTCTATTTTGACGGCTGCAGACATACGAGGACGCTTGGAAGGAAGCCTTCTCAATGAGCCACCCCTTGAAGTGGGCTGTTGAAATCGGGGTGCATTTTCCAGTGGTTGCATTGGCCCAGATCGGTTGGGGTGTTTTCAACATGCTCAACCAGCGCCAGCGAGGGGTGGATGGTTTTTGTAGACGTGACCCTTGGCGATACGTAGTTCTCAAAATGGTTTTTGTTTGTGTGAGTGAAAACCGACGCTTGTGACATGTTGCTCGTCAGATCTCGTCAGAGTTGTTTCTTGTGGTCAATGTTTAACCTTCTTTCCAGATTGGTTTCCAAACAGATTCTAGAAATGGTAGAACAGAAAATTGCCTTTCTCTTTGGGTGTCAGTCCAGGTTCTATCCAAGCCACGGGTTTACAAAATAGTGCTTTCCGGTGGCACAACGGTCGGGTCCGTTTTCAGCGCATTTCAGCGCCACCTTGCCCCATTGGGGCTCACTGCGCCAAAGGCCTGTCAGCGACCGGAGCTACGGCCGCATTGATGCTGATCGTGATGTACGCAGCCATTTGGACCGGCATCAGCTACTATCATTCAGTGGAAGTCTTCAAGGAGCAGATGCATCTCAACTGAGTGGTGCTAGAATATGTTTTTAGATCATGTGTGTGTTTTCTTGTCTCTGGGATATTTTGGTGCTACTTACTCTTAAGGGGCGTTTCTTGGAAATGGTTCGTTGACCCCATTTATTCTGCTATTTGCGGAAGAGAGAAGGAGGGAGGAAGGAAGGAAGGAAGGAAGGAATCATCAAGCAAAGGAAGGAACAGAAGCTGAGAAAGAAAAGGCAGGAAGGAAGGGAGAAGCAGACAAGCCCAAGCTGCACCACCACTCCACGCGCGGATATGCGCAGCAAGCACCAATATGGTTTGAGATGGTTGAGTGTGAAGCACCAACCAAGTGACTGTTGTTTAGAATTCCTCACCCAGGCTGCCAGCTTTCGCCATGCGCATTGCCAGAACACCATCAAAATTGCTTGGTTTCGACGGCTTTGTGTCATGCCTTTTGGTGGACTGTTGGGGGAACACCGGTTTGAGGCTTTTGCCCTCCCAGGAAACATGGAACTGCAAGATCTCAGCCAGGCTGCTTCATCAATCCCGGCAAGATGCGGCAAGTCAGCCGACTTCCTTGTTCTTTCACCTTGTGCCCTTTTTGTCAGACTTTCAGCCTCAGAAATAAGGATGCACTTCAAGCTGGCAAAGACCAAATGCTGGTGCTGCAGCAACAATCACACCATGCCAGATGGACGAATCATCAACTGCGACCGGGAGATCGTCTCCAAGTGTTTGATCCCTTGGTCTCTTGGTGAAGACTTAGCAGACTGCGGAGTTTTCAGGGTTCGAGACACAGATTAGGCTAAAGGAAAGCCACTCGCTCAGTTGAACTTGGATCAATTTTTCCCCACCTGTCCGGCGAGGGCTGTTAGGTTTATGTCAGCTACCTCGCGTCCTCTCCTTCTTCTTCTCCTCGCCTCCTCAACCGCAACTGCCGGACGGCAGTGTTCCCCGCCGGACCTCAACCGTGAGTCAGAAAATATGCCAGAAAGAATGTCAGAAGCTATGCCAGAATATGTATTAGAAAGAATGTCAGAAGAACTGCCAGAAAGAATGTCAGAAATAATGCCAGAAGATATGCAAAAGATATGCCAGATAGAATGTCAGACTGAGTGTCAAAAGATATGCCAGAACAAGTGTCAGACGATATGCTAGAAAGAATGTCAGAAGATTAACAGAAACACTGTCAGACATAATGTCAGAAGTTATGCCAGAAAAAATGCCAAAATAATGTTTCAATACGTGCCGCAAAAGTTTTTTAGATTGAAATGTGATGGTGGGGGCCAGTCGAAGGGAAGTAATGTTGCTGCCCAACCACGGATTTTACCAGCCAGGAAGCACAATTAATCAGTTGTGGGGATGTGTAAAAATCAACGGTTGGCGTTTCCATGGTCTTTATCACGCATTTGACACAACGCGCGCCAGTGGGAATCTGAGGATTTCATGGTTTCTCAGGGCCAGACGAATGTTGGGGATGATTTGTGGAGTGGTTTCGCTCGATCAGAACGCTAAAGGCCTTAGAGATCATCATGAAACCAATCAACCCACCCACCAATCATCATTAGCAATCAACCAATCATCAAAGGGTGTTTTTTTGGTGCTTAAGAGTCTACCACCGCTGCCATCCACCACCAATCAGCCCAGTTTCAACGTCAGACAGAGAAAACTCCACCGTCCTCCAGGTTCGGAGGCCTGGAGGAGTTTGAATCGGCCGTGGCACAAGAATTGGCGACCGCGGTGCCCAAACAGTGACTTGGATGTCGGTGGACCCAGGAAGTGTTCGTCCCGTGGAACGGGAACAGGAGAACGGAACTGTCCACTGGTGTCCACCCCATGAAAGAGCGGACAGTTCCGTGAAAACGTTAACCATTTTTGTTGTCCTTGCGGCGGTACGTGGAGATAGCATGACATGGGATTAAATGCATGGTATTGCATGGTCATGCCTTGCGTTTCGTCCCACCTGAGCTGCTCCCGTGTCCAGCAAAGATCCACGCAGATTCCTGTGTTCTTGAGACTGGGATAGACTGGGGCATTCAAAACAAAATTCCTATCCTTGACGTGTTTTGACGGGCCTTTTCAGAATTCAATTCTGTTCAACTCGAGGGACAGATCACAGATCTTTGATCGGTTCCAACTTGTCAGCGATATATCAACTCCCAGTGTTGGACAAGCGCCACCGGATTGGGCGGTGAGAGTGACGGTGAGCAAGCAAAAAGACCTGTTTTCGCGGTTCCAGGTCCGTGAGTGATGGAAGATCGATGCATTCTCAGGGTTTCTATAGAATGTTTCAGTGACCGAAAGTTCGCCTGGAGAATCTCTAGAATCTTCAAGACGAGCTCCCGCAACGCAACCCTGTTTTTCTGATGCGACCGTGTCTCGCGTAGAGTCGGCCGAAACTCGGAGCTCGAAGCTGAGCTCGTCCCAAGGCTTGGAGAGCATTTGGTGCCCTGGAATTTTCTGCTCTCTTGCACCCTTCCAGTGCTTTGGTTGTGTCAGGACCGGACCAAAAGAACCTGGCGGTACTCCCGGCCAAACCCGGTTTCGAGAGAATGACCGGTGCGGAGAGAGGTGTAGACACGAGAGAAAGACATTGAGTTAGAGGAAAGATTCGCTATTTAGACTGACATATATAATTACTTATAAACTATAATAGTAAGTACATGTAAGTCCTAATATAAGATAATATATAACTATTGGAACCATGGAAACAGTGTGCTCTGTCTATTTGATTCTTTTGGGGGACAGCAGAATTCTAGGCAGTTTTCATTCAACATCCCCCTGTGTTTCTAAGCAGTAAAGCGTTAAAACCGTCAAAATCATCAGACATCCACCCAAGTCCTAAACACGCTTGCTGGTGGACACCAGATGAGAAGCTTCTGCTTACCCTCGGGGTCCATCGCCGGTCGAGTCACTGAGTGACTCGTGGTGTTTAGCGAATGAAACAAAGAACAGCGTTTGTCGAGCTTGTGGCAGCTGAACAGGTCCAAGTTCCGTGGACGACATGGTTCATCCACCAGACATGGCGATGATATCTAGTCCTCAACTTCGGACTTGACCTTCAGTCCAAACCTTTTCTCAGTGCACTCTCCAGCGGAGTGTGCCAGGACATGTCAGTCTCATACCTCAAGAACGGGAACCCTGATTCGGCATTGCATTGGATCGTGGCGAGCGGTGGACTCTTTGCATTGCAGTCGGGGCGGGGGTCTTTAGGGGGAAATGGAGTGGAAAATGGATTTCCACTGGTTCAATGGTTCAAAGATTTGCCAAGTCCCTTTTAACCATGATTGTGAGACAATGATTCACCTTGTTTCAATAATTCCATTAAATTATTCACATGTTTTCACCAAGTCTTTGGCGATCAAGAATTGGTGAAAATCATGTCTTTTTTTTGGAGTGCTCCCATGCGCTCCCATTTTGATCGGTTTGCATGTTTCAGGTTCAGACCCCCAGCTGTGGGATGAGAAATGGAGAACCTTCATGAACCTTCGAAGTTGGGACGAGCTTTTCTCGTGGAATCTCTGAAATCTCCAATACACCAAAACACGGCTCAGGTCACGCGGTCACGCGTCTTTCAATGACATCTCCCTTGGGATGCACCCGTTTTTGCGAAAAAATATTCTTCCGGGCTTCGCGTTCCACGGATGCTGACTACGCGTCCGGGGGTTTCTTCGTCGACTCCGCCGCTAGACGGGCGTTGCCTTCCCCAAAGCCGGGACACCAGCTGGTTGGCAGGGGTTGGCAGGGCGGGGGTAATTACAGAATGTTACAGACGGTTACAGAACTCTTGTTTGTTTGGCGGGTCGATGCGAGTCGCAGGATACTGGCTGGGTTCCGTGCCATTGATCACTGCGTGGGCCTTCTTCCTGGCAAAGAAGATGATCAAGGTGTACTCCAGGTTGGGGCCAATCTTTTGCTGATTTGGATGGACGGTCTGCAAAACTTCTGAAGCGTTCAATGATTCGAGCTGCGAGCTGCGAGCCCTGTAGCCAACGAAAACGGACAGTATCAGCCAGCGAAACTGGGCCCGAGTTGCCAGGGGTGGGCGACCTCATCTTTGACCAAAACACAGCAAGCAAAACCTTTTGGACGTCGCTACTAAGAAGCTATACTAGGGGCTCCCCCCCGCGTCGCTACGAACGGAGCGATCGGACACTACGAACGGGGCGAACGGGGCCTCGTTACTAGTAACAAGAAGCTATTGGAGGACAACCAAGGCAAAGCGAAGCCAGAAGAGGTATGTTCTGATCGGTCGGTCCGTTTCTTCCGAATGCAACCCGGGTCACCCTTCTGACCACGCTCGGCGGCAGGTGCGGTAGTCATGCTGCAACTTTCTTGGTGGTGATCTTGATTCTGCCCGTCTTCCTGGTCACTGTAGGAGCGAATTGCACATGCCCACCATGTGGTTGTGGTGGTCGACCTAGACGCGCTGTGCAATTCAAAGATAGCTACTAAGGACAACTCTTGGTTGTAGTGGGCTATATCAAAGAGGTCGCCATACACTTTGTGACGTGTATGGACCCCCCCTGGATTGACCCTTTTAGAAAGGGTAGGATGCCCCATGGTTCAGAAGTTGTGTTCAGGGTTGAAAGCTTGAAGCGCTAAAGGATGTTGGTCCACTCAGGGCACCCGCCTGATCGATTAAGCTTAAAGGATAAGCATATAAGCATCGGTAGACGAGGCAAGCGGATGCTAACTGGAAGTTGTCTATATATGTCTATATACAGTAATGAGGTTTGCTGCTTGGGTGAATGTACATATGTGCATGCATGTTTATGTCACATATGTTACATTTGTGTCATCGCGTTGGTTAGACGTCAATAATGTAGAATTGTTTATCCTGTGATATTGAATATAGTTAATATTGTCACATCAATGAGGCCGAGTTGTTTGACACTGGCAGAAAGAACCAAGACATCACAGATGAAGTAGGAACAATTGAACAAGCTTAATTACAGGTGTGGCCATCACGCATGGCGCGCGATGGGAGGAGCAATATACAGCTCAATCATGCTCAATCCATTAATCGTTTAGCAATCTGTGAAACATTTTTAGATCAATCAATTGCAGTATCTCATCTGCATAATTCATATGTCCATGTATATACCCTGATGTTCTCTCAATCAGTACGCGTGCGAACAAAGCCATTTGTCTCCTTTCTAGCTATCCACCTCTATCTACGGTTCTTTCTTTCTTTGATCAAACGGCTTCAATCTGTCAGTTCCTTCCTTGGAAAGCATACTGGCACGGAGTCGAGGTGGCTCGTAACTTATTTATACTTATTTATCGACGTTTGATATTTTGGCACACGTTTCATCGCAGGTATTTTCTTATGATTTCTTATGTGTTGTGTTGCTTTGTGTTGCATCTTTGGTATGCTTTTGTGTGGTACTTTTGAATGTGTCATCATTGGAAAGATTTATCAGAATCTTTGGAAAGCTCAGACAAGCTACAGAACTGGATCTCCCAAAACCCATTCAACTGTCTTTTCTCAATATAAGCGCTGGAAGACATGTTCCCAACAGAATTCGATACCTGGAAGGTGAGGGTTAGTTTGTTTTGAAACGTTTTTTGCTGGGGAGTACTATTCTGAATTCAACATTATTTATCCATGGATACGATTGTCGCGTTATTTGCCGTTGATGTCTTCCAGATGGGTCACCTTTATTGCATGGTGGTCAAAAAGGACACGGGAATTTCGGAATCATTCAACGAGCCTTAGAGGGATGCTGGTTCACTAAAGAGGTGTTTCAAAAGAGTTCGGCATAGGGAACCTTTTACACTCTGTGCGGTACCTCTAGGTGCTCCCCAGCTTTTTCTTGGAGCAAGCAAATGTTAGAAGACATAAGAACAGAATAGAACAGAGATGTACACGTTTGGGGAAGGGAACTTGACTCAGATTAGCTGGGGAACTCAAATGGTTCAATCCCCAATCCAGTCAGCCCCTTTGTGGCAATCACCATGGAAGGCCCCTTCCCGGCCATCCACCTCCCAGCCATCAATTGGAAAGGGCAATCTGCTTAGCCTCTGTCGATTTTGCTGTGCAACACAGGGTTTTCATCACCAAACCATGCTTGGTTAGATATGGAGCAAACCGAAAGCGAACTCCAAGGTGTTCCTTTTTGCGCAGTGCTGCATGTTCGGTGTTGATAAAAACAAGAGTTCCCCGCTGGTCTCCATGTTGGGGGACATTCTGATCATGTTCCGGCGCGCCTGGACGGGCGCGAGTTAGCGGCCTTCGTCCTTCGGTGGTGCCAGGATTTCCATCGTTCTTGGAAGATCAGCACTTGATGCCTTCTTGGGCCAATGTCACGACCTCCACCGTGATGCCTGGATGAGAGATTTTGGTAGGTTGTGGTTGATGGTTGATGCGTGCGATGACAAGTTGTTTGGGTGAAGATCGCTGGCAAAGCGAGGTATAACTGTTGGATTCTCGCTGCTGAGGGCTGTTTCTTCCAACCATTTCCATCTTAATGGCCCCCACGGCTTCTGAGGTTTTCGGTTGCTGAGATTTGCCCGCCATGCAATCAGTGAATCAATCGGGAAATATGGGAAACCCGAAAAAGTTCAAGGGCTTGGGTCGAACGGGTAGAACCTACCTACAAAGAAGGGTCTCTGGGTACCGTGAGCTGCCTAGAATCCTGTTCCTGCGACGTTTTGCGGAGATCAAGGATCAACAGCTGCCGGGTTGGCTTTGAGGTTTTGGTGAACTCATCCGATGAAGAACTGGATGGGAGGCGCTCTTAGGTTGGAGGCCTTCGCTCTTAGGTTGGTTGGAGGCCATCCGATTAGCGATTAGGATAGTTTCACTAGGACCACTGTAGACTCTAGACGATTCTTTATTGTTTTGCGTGTGGATTGGTTCGCTGAAATGTCCAATCCAAGGATCCTTTCATTGCTTGGTGTGGTGGTGTGGCATCCTTGCTTGGTCGGCACACAGAAATGGAATGAAGAGAAGCCTGAGGAGACTCAGGAGGTTGTGGAGACCTCCGCGATTGAAGGTCATGCTGCACAGCGCAGTGACTTCAGAGTGTCACTTTAATCATTCTCCACTAGATAGATCTGTAAAAACAGTTCATGTTTCACATTCATATACAATTGAGTGAACGTGAACAGCAAGTTTTTAATAGATATCACTTATATACTTATTATATGATAAACATCATCAAAGTGTGTTGACCTTCGCTCTATTGGGGCATGAAATATCCGCCGTCGACGGTTCCATGAAACCCGATGGGGCAAAAAAAAGGGCGAAAAGATGATGTACCAGGTGGAATCCCTGAACTGGGTTTCCAGCATCCGCCCAGCGGCCCTGTGTTTAAAGACCGTTTCACCGGGTCGCAGCGGCCATCATTGCCCGCCCACGCCATCGCCCAAAGACTTCAGAATCGATCGAGAAACGCGAACGGGAGAACGGTTCTCTCCGAAGCGAAGCCATGACGTGTCAGTTTTGGGGGGCGGCTTTGTGTCGCCGCCACAGGGGTGCCACAGGTTGGGAGACCCCACGTCCGCGGTGTGTTTAGGGTGCAGTTGTTTGTGTCGGGCAGTGCTGTCATGTGCTGTTTGATGTGGGAATACACTCCTGAAAGATGCTGAAAGACTGTTTTCCTCTACAAACCCGTGTTCAGGGTCCATGTAGGTGTTCAACGAGGCAAGTTTAAGAAAGATTCATGTCCAAGATGTGACCGTTTGAGATCGAAGCACTGCTCTGATGCCGTCCGAGTTCAGACCGACCTAGCCTTTGAGGCTCTAAAAGGAAACATATCCTTCAATGCTAGACTATTTGCTTGTTTGGTTACTTGGTGGGCTGCTTTTGAACTTGACATATACACGGTATATATAGGGAAAGAGAGAGAGCCAGAGAAGAAGGTCAAGCACGACAATTGGTTTCCCCTCAACGATTGTTTTCGTGCATTCTCGTATTCTTGTGGTACATGAACCGGATCTTGGTTAATACTGCTTTGGGGTGAAGACACTACGCTCAAACCCTCGAAGACCTAAGCAAGAGTTAAAGTGGCAAGTTTGGGTGAAACCCACCTTCTCCGTTCGAATCTATCTACTCGATCTATCTACTTCTTTTGGGTGTGGAGACACTGCTTGAGTCTTGATGTCCTCTAGAAGCTTGGCCAAACACCAAGCCAAAAAAAAAACAAGCCTTCGGGGCAAAAAAAACTGCAATGTCATCATCACGATTTTCGAGAAAGGCCTGCAACTTAACCAAATGGATGATAGACTCTCATAAACCGATAGACCCAAAAAAGAAAACCTCCCATTCACCAGTGGTTTCTTTCACAGGTGAAGAATCCTGATTGCCAGGTGAAGAATCCCACGGCCTATGTCATGACCGCTGTGAAGCAACGTGGGAAAGGCAGGGCTACGGCTTGGAACCCGCCTCCTGGAGACCCCCAATCAATGGGTTGTTTTTGAAGGATGGCTGTTGGAGGTCTCACTGTGGTTGATTTGATACACACCAATTTACTGAGGGGGGGGGAAGGGGCGTTCTAATTCGAAGGCAAGTCCAATTAATGGGTTTGTCAGTTTTGTTGAACATGGGGAGGCCAAACGAATGGAAGCACCATCCTCCATTCACCAGGTATGGTTAAAGTATTTCTTTGTCACTGTTTTTTGTGATTGCAGTTGATGCAAGTACTCGTACCAGCTTGTACTGAGAGGTCGACGCTGGATCCAATGAATTCCCGTTGAGACGCAGTTGAAAGGTACAAATCCGTTGAGAGACACTCAAAGTATCTCAAAGTCTTTCTCTTTTGGTGGGAGTTCATGTCTATTCATTCTTCGAACGCGCTGCTGTTTGAAGTCGAGCCACGACGTCTGGCACCTGTGCAGCGGCTGGCACCTCCGAAAAGCGGGTGGCTGGTCACCAATTCCTGACTTTTGGCCAATGTGGTTCAGCGGTTTTTGGAACTGCTTTGAGGGATGCAGCCTGATAATCACAAGTGCGCAAGCAAGCCAGACATTGAGACCAATGCGCATTGATTAAATATATATATATATATATCATGTGCTTTTGCAATTGGCCAGTGTTAATTATCAATCAATATGAATGGTTGGTTGGGTAGGGACATATTGAGATGTGAAACATATAGCGGGGATCCTCAATCTTGGATGCCATTTTGGCTCAAGATTGGGGGCTCCCCTCCTTTTTCTGCCATGCCTGCCATCCTATCCACCGAGCTGTCGACGTGGAGGGTGGTGGCACGGCGGTGGAGGCGGGGCAACAGGGGCAGGGAGGCCAGTACGCTACCCCGTGAGGAGCGGCTGGCCTCCCTTGCGGCCCGGGGCGCTTTCATTGAGTCCCAGTGGCACCAGGTCTACCGGGCGCCGGACATCCAGGCCGACTGGTGCCGGACGTGTGCCCAGTGGACCACGTCCTGGTGCGAGGGCTGCTACAGCCGTTGTGGTCGCGGCGGCGCACCTTTTGGAGCCATCTGTCACCAGTGTGACAGCGAGAAGCGGGTGTGTGACAAGTGCACCACCCAGGGCATCTCGTGGGACCAAGGCCACCAGCGCTACGTGGAGGACCATGGCGGAGAGCAGGAGGCGGCGGTCCAGATCGAAGGGTTTGGAACCCAAGAGTCGGCCCCGCACTTCCATGAGGTCGACCAGGTCATCAGCCTCGACGCCTTGGGAACCGCCCTCAACATGTCCGCAGACGACGTGCGCGCCTACATCATCGAGCAGCTCAGGAGCGCTGAAGCCGGATCAACCCATGGAGGGTATGCTACAGGAGCTGCTGGTCGACCGGCCGATCAACCTCCTCAATCACCTCGTGGACCTGGGAGTCCAGACCTGTGAGGATGTTCATAGCCTGTGGCCCACAGGAGGTGCGCTCCTCGAGGAGTTGGAAGGGCGCCATGGCTCGGTGTCCGCGGAGGAAGGCTTCACCATCGTCTCCTTCTGGACTTTGGCGTCTCAGAGGGCTCAAGCCTCACAGCGCAAGCACTTGAGGGAGATCTGCATCCACCGCCAGTCGGCAGTCTCCACCTCGGCCCCAGCCAGGCCAGAGGGACCTTCACAGCAGGCCGCTCGGCCGGTGCGCCGCCTTTTGGAGACAGGAGAGGTCAGGGAACCTCCGCTCCTCATGAGCCTTGCAGCCCGAGACCCCTATGTGAAAGAACAAGCAGCCAAGATGGCCAAAACCCAGACCTTGTTCGAGCTCTTGATCCAGGACTTCCTCGACCTGGAGGAATTGGGGGTTTCCCGACCCCAACTGCAAGACGCCACCAGGATGCAACTCCTCAAGGAGTCTGTTATGCCGGCCGCCGACAGGCTTTCAGTCCATCGCTTGGGAGCTCTGGCGAGCACCTTGCGAAGGTGGCGGGAGTTTGCCCTCAGGTTGGGGTTCGATGTACGGCAACCTACCCCTCTGCAGTTGAGCACCTTCCTCAAGGAGGTGGCACGCGGGGGCCCCACGGCTGCATCCGCTATGTTCCACGCCCTCAACTGGTTCCGGTCACAGTTCGGGGTTCAATTCCCGCTGGACCACTGGATGGTGCGCGGTTACAAGCTGCTTCCTGTGGGACATACCTCGCAACAGAAGCTCGAACTGCAACCGTGGGAGTTCATCAACATGATCCTGAAGCTTCGCCAAAGTTCCGGCACCAACACTTTGGTGCTGGCATTTATGTTGTGGGCGGCTGTATCCTGCATCAGATTCGAGCATATTCAACGGTCTAAGTTTGACCACCTGGCGGCCAATGCCCTGTTCTTCACCTGCTCGCAGGGCAAGGCGCGGCGCCAGGGGGCCCGGCCTGCCTTCCAATGGGCTATGCCTGACATCCCATGGCCAGGGTTCAGCTTGGTCAAGGTCATCCAGGACTTTGTCACCATGGAGCTTCTGCCAGGGTGCAAGTTCTTGTGGCCGGCATTGCAGCTGGACCCGATGCACCTGTGGCAGGTCACGGAACACACCCCTTAGGCTTTGGATCGCAAGCTGTCCAGAGGCCGCTTTTTGGAGCTTCTGCGGGGCACCCTCCTTGACCTGGGCACGGCTCCTGACCAAGCCCAGACTGCGGGATTCAACCGTTTGAGACGGTTCCTCCCCACTCTTGGGAATGTGGTCCGGTTGACCCCGGCGGACCAACAGGCCATTGGCAATTGGGTTGAGATCCCCACTGGTGGGGGACCCATCCCCAACCAGAAGTCGGCCCAGGTGAAGAAGGCACTGCTGAAGCGCTTCATGAGCCTTTACCATGCCAAGAAGGCGGAATTGGCGCTGACGGATGAGGGACTGCACCCCCGGGACAGTTGGACCTGGGCAGAATTCGCTGCCCAGAATGAGCGCCTTGGTGACCTTGGGACCGAGCTCCCGGCACCACCACCGGTCGAGATCGAGCAGGACATGCCTACAGATGATGCCACTGCCACGGGCTCAGCGGATGTCCATGACCCCACGTTGCCGGTGGACAATGGGCCAGAACCGGAACCGGAAGCAGCTGACAATGAATCCGTCACGGACACCTCCTCGAACTCCCCAGAATCAGCCTCCGATGTGTCCAATGAAGCCAGCGATTTGGAGGGCGCCCTCTCTGACGATGACGTGGCCGTGTCCACGCATTGGATGGTGCAAGGGGCCAAGGTTCACATCATCCGAGGGGAATCGGATGGACGTCTGCTGCCGTGGTGCCGCGACGCCCCTTTCTCCCAAGATCCGCGTTCGACAGGAGAGGGCTTCTCCTTAGTATCGCGCCAGCGATTTTGCCAACGATGCTTGGCTCGCATGCCCAGGGGATTGTACCGGGCACTGGCGCGGCATTGCGGGTGGCTGAACTAGCACATCCCCGCGTGTGGTATGAAAAAGCTGCCTCGGTCCGCCCGGCTGGAGCCCATCGTTCGATCACACAACCTCGTCGACGTGTGTGCGGGGTAGGGTCGGGTTTTGGGGTCAGTGACGAGTTGATGGGTAGCTCATCGCCTGTGCTCCGGGACCACGGGGACCCGCCGGCCGACGTCGATCGAGGGTTTTTCCTTTTCGCGTTTGGGCAACCCCCCTTAATCCACCACCCCCTCGTAGGAGGGCGAGGGTGAGAGAAAGGGTCCTCGGGTTACGTGTGTTTGTGATGTGTCTTCGACACCGCAACCATGGCCCAACTTCTGCAACAGCCCAGTTTTTCACTCGCTCGATCTCAGAGTGCAGCGCCCCTGAGTGGCCCAGTGTGCTCTGGGTTTCCCAGCACCTGCTAGACCCTCGGAGCCCTGCCATGAGCCGTGGACACCAGATTGATACTCTCCAAGATGACCGTGGCTTAGCTGCTTGTCTCAGTGGCTCCAACGTCCTCCCAGAGTGGGCCGACGCCGTGATCCGTGCACATAAATGGGAGACCTTGGAGGACTTCATTTTCTCTGTGGACGAAAAGGACGTCACGGCGGCCATCCATTCACTGTTGGCGCCTACACCCTTCAAGGACAACCGGCTGACACAGGCTCGCCTGCGTGCGGCCTATTCAGCAGGGGCCGAGGCCATTAAGCAAGCGGCCCAGGCCGCTAAGTCATCTGAGGGGGTGGATGACCCACTCCCGGAATCCACCATGGAGCAGCTCAACCGCGACTTCAGATCCAAGTATGCTCTCATCGTGGAGGCTACGCTGGAACCCAGTGACGCTCTGAGAGCCCGGGTTTACAGAGAATTCAGAAAGAGGACTATGTCGGTGGTACCAGCCTCTCGCATCAAGTCAGTCCTTCACCAGGCTACACCACGGCAACAAGATGCGGTGAAACTAGGAGAAGGCATCCAGCTTGAATTCCACACGGAGGAGGCCCGCTCTATTCGCACTGTAGTCGACTACTACTGGTCGCTCCGTACTTTGGCCTATGCATGGGCGTGGGCAGGGTTGCACCAGCAGCGGGGACATGACGGTAAGGAGACGGTATTTATCTCCCTTACCGCTGCCCTGAACTACGCTGACCACGCGCTCTCCAGTGCCATGGAATTCGGCCAGGGCTCCAGGTTGTGGTTGGAGCGCAACGACCTGCTGACACGTACCAAGATGGCCAGTTACATTCGGCAAGGTTACAATGCTTGGGAAGCACTTCAAGAGGCCTTGCGTGAGACTCACCTTGAATGGCGCGCCAGTGCCATTCAGGCCGTCCCCAATGAGCCTGCAGGCGCACCCAAACGAGCAGCCCCGGGTGCCAGTGAGGCTGTGCCTCCTGCGCCCAAACGGCGCCAGATCAAGCAGGATTCGTACCAGACCATCTCTATGTTGAAAGGGGGCCTGAAGTTGTGCAAGCCTTGGAATGATGGACGCGGCTGTGCAAACAAGAAGTGCCCGCAGGTTCACAAGTGTGATGTCAAGCTGCCGACAGGTAAGCCGTGCCAGGGACCCCACACCAGGCTCGAGCATCCGAGCGAATAGGGACATCTCCCCCTGGCAGCCTGTGAGCTGCGGGGGGTTGAGCATCCAGTGCAGCAGAGGGATACCACGGCGCCACCTCAGGTGGCCGTGCGGCAGATCACCTTGCGCGAGCCTATGGAGCTCACCCCTTCGGCTTTAGCTACCCGCTTGGTCGGGGCAAAACCGGTGACATGGCGTGGCAGAGGAGACCTGCCACAGTTCCCTTGGGGTATATCTATTCGAGGCACTTGGCTGGTATTGGACCTCTGGGCGGGCATTGGTGGACTGTGCATTGCATTGCTTGCTCTCGGTGTTCACATCTACGCAATCAGCGCTGAGAGTGACCCGGTGGCTAGTGCCGCTGCACAGGCTGCAATGCCTAATTTGGTGCATATTGACTCAGTTGAGGAACTCAAGGGAGCGGACCTCCGCCAGTTCTTGCAACGGCGCCAAGTACGGGGCATCATCCTGGGTGGTGGTTCCCCGTGCCAAGGCAACTCTAGCTTGAACCGAGGCAGGCAGGGTCTTAATGACCCGAGATCTCAACAACCGAGCCAACTCCGACGCCTTCGGGAGGAGATTTTGGCCCTTCCGGAAGCTCGCACCTGTGAAGTCATCACATTCCTGGAGAACGTCGCCAGTATGCCCCAGTCCGTATGTGAACAGTACTCTACATGGTTGGGCGCTCAACCGGTGCTGAGCGACGCGGCTGGGTGTGGCTGGGTCCACCGCCGCCGTTTGTACTGGTTGGCATCCCGCAGCGCAGGTTTGTCATCGAAGGGCACGCCGCCTTCAGATTGGGTCTGGCAGCAAGGCTCAGGGAGCCGACATCCGACCCTACACTACTGCGGAAAGAAGCCTATCCCTGCTCAGGTATGGTGGGATGATCACTTCCGGCCGATGCTGGACCCCAAGCAAGTGATGCAAGCGCAAGGCTCTGGTGCTATGCACCCTTTCACTCGCGAGTTCTTCCACCCTACGGATCGGCTGGCACAAGTGACACCGGCAGCGGCAGCACGGTTCCATCAGGACAATCGTCGTTTCCCACCGGCAGCTTATGAGGAGAATTCGCTGTTGTGGTCAGGTGACAACTGGAGACAGCCCTCCCCAGACGAGAGGTCCCAATTGATGGGTGTGCCTGTGGCCGCCACCCATGCAGTCCAGGGCTCACAAGACCAGCGAACAAAGCTACGAAACTCTTTGCTAGGCAACGGCTTCCATATTCCAAGTGTCATGGCGCTTCTGTGCTGCCTTCCATCCATCATGGAGGCCAAGCTGACAAAGCAGCCCTTTGATGTGGAGGAGTTAGGCCTTGCTGAACGCCTATGCCATACAGTATGGAGCCCGGGTAGGTTGGCGACTATGCCGGGTATCCTCTCTGCAGGTGAAGTGTGTGCAGAATTACAAGCCACCTTTCCATTCCTCCCATGTCAGGAGGCAGTCTGGCCGGAGGTGTCCCGGAGGTTGGCGGCATGTGAGCTCGCTACGCTACAAGCTTACCCGATGTGGCGCCGCCTCAGGCAAGAGTCATGGTCCACCTTGGGCCCTACACCGGTTTGGGGCCGAGAACGCACAGCCATCTATGCTGGTCTCACGGGCCAAAGATATGCCAGCAATGCAGCCAAAGGACTGGATCACCTCCTCCCGCCGGGTATGGGCAAGCAAGAGCATATTGCAGCTGCCTTGAAACTGCCCTCACCGTTTGCACCCCGCCCCTGGCCTGAACCGGACATGAGCTTTGTCATCCAGGCTGTGGCAACCTGGAGACAAGCCCTCCCTCGCTGGGCAGAGAAGCTTCGCCACGTCCTGGCCACGGTGGCGCGGGCGGTGACTCCCCTGGAGGACGCATTGAACCCCTTCCGATGCCAGAGTGCTCGGAAAGTGGCGATGGGAAAACGACCAGCCTTTGTGGCCACCATGGTCGCTTTGTTACGTTGGCCGGAGAAGATGCTCGCAAGATCCCTGGTTTTGGGCTTCGACATTGTGGGCGACATGGAGCACTCGGGGGTTTTTCGACCCATTGTCCAGGAAGGAAAACTATCCCTGGACCAGTGGTTGGGGACGGCAGCCGAGGCTGACCTAGATCGCCTCCTTCGCACCCGCCCTCCGGAGCATGTCCAAGACATCCTGGACTTGACTAACGATGAGATTGAAAAAGAGTTTTGCTCTCCTTTGCGCACTGCACGGGAAATGGATGATCTTTTCGGTGTTGGGGGGTGGAGGTTCGTGGAACGTTTCCTCATCATCCAACCGGATGGGAAGAAACGAGCCATTGACAATGCTCGGAAAAGTGGTCATAATGCTCATACAACAATGCACGAAACGATCTCAACTGTCAATGTTGACTTCTGTGCTTCAGTAGCCCGTATGTTGCATTCCGAAATGCCCTTTCCGGTAGGCTCACCTCCCGAGTGGCTTGATATCCGTCTGGGCACGGATGATCTTCCCGACGCTTACCGGGGCCTGCCCGTCGCTGACTCCCATCTTCCCTTCTCTAATGTTGCGATTTTCGTTCCCTCATTGGGCTGGAGATTTACATGTATGTGGGGTCTAGCTTACGGTCTCGAAAGCGCGGTGGTGAATTTCAATCGCTTCCCACAACTGGGTATTGCCATCACCCGTAGATGTCTCTTAGGGTGCTCAGCTGCATACTTTGACGACGAGCTATCGGTGGAGTGCATTCGTGACAACGATGTCTCCCAACGGGGCCTCCAGTTGGTTTTCAGGCTGTTGGGAGCACCGCCCCAGAGCTCCAAAAGTTTTGTGCCAGCACCTAATAGACATTACCTCGGGACTTCAGTCCACGTAGGAGACTTTGGCTGGTTAGGAGTCATCAGATTCCAACCAAAGACCTCCACTACGAGGAAGGTCCAAGCCAAGCTCCACGAGGCTATCGCTACCCGACACCTCCGACCCGATGATGCGGGGAAGCTTCGTGGCGACCTCAACTGGCTATTCAGCATGTGCGCAGGGCAAGCTGGCCGCTTCGCAGGGCCAGTGTTGGCCGCCAAACAGCACGCTGCCACTCCTGAACTAGCAGACGCTGAGGTTACTACTTTACGCCTCCTCAGCATCATGCTTCACGAAGCCAGGCCCCGGGATATTGAGGTGTGCTCAGCCACCAAATCCCCCCTGGTAATTTATTCTGATGCCTCTTTTGAAAAGGGCACCTTGCGGGTTGGATGGGTACTCATGACATCGCCTCCTTTGGGAGTCTCATGCCTGGTACCATCCGAGGTGACTGATTCATGGATTGAACGTCACCAACAGATCTACCCCGGCGAAACACTTTGTGGACTCCTCGTGCCGTGGGTCCATGGTGACATCCTTGCCGGTCGTGATCTCCTCTGGTTCGTTGATAATGAGGCCGCTGTTTCCTCATTAATTAAAGGTTCCAGTGGACAAGAAGACGTTCATGCCATTGTCCAGTTAGCTCATTTGATTTTCCAGAAACGTCAGATTCGACCTTGGATTGAATGGATCGACTCCGCCAGTAACCCCTCTGATGGTTTGTCCAGGTTGGGTATCGAGGACGAATGGACCCGTACCCAACCATGGCGACTGTGCGAACTGTCCTTCCCAGTCGAATTATATTTTGTTTCTCGGCCTACGGACCTTCAACCTTTCCTCTCCTATTTGAACAGTGGGTGATATTTTGACAGTGGGTGATCAGGTATGTTCATCAAAGATGACATAAAAAGCTAGTCTGT